GTTCCTAAATTTTTAAAAAGCAAAGATCAAAACCCAAAAATCTCTGAGTAGGAGAACCTGGGGAAATTTCTGCCAAATGGACAGATCATGAAATGACATAAAAGTGAGGCAAGGATGATATAAGATAAGAGAACATGAGAAAGAGAGGATTCACCTGTACTGTGACTTTTTTCCTTTCTTTTCTATCTAATAAGTGAGATGTATCCAGCTGGTCAGGAGGGAAGAGCAATCTCCAGGTGCCAAATCAGGACGATGATGTCCTCATTTAACATCTTTGATGAAAGCAAGGCCATGGTCACAAGTAAAAGTTTATCGTAAATAGAATCCTGCATACACCAAGCTTCTGGTTGTGTCAGGCTACACAAGTTTAGAAAAAAACAATGTTTACTTGATTATATCTAAGATCTGCACCTGGTGAAAACCAGAGATATGAAAGAGGTTTAAACCTATGTAAATGCTGGCAGAATTGAACGTCATTAAAGGTGGTTCGGTAACTGCTGGATTTTAATGTAGAATTTGACATAAATAACAACTTTTTCTTATTCTTAACAGTTCTTGGGGTTTCTTTTTTCTAAAAAATTTTTGTTAAAAGTGCTAAAATTCAGGAAGAGCATCTTCGCTTTCATTCTCTTGGATCAGCAGTAGTGAGCCTTTTAGAGGCAGAGTGCCAAAAACTGCAACCCAAAACCAACTTTATTTATCACAAAGAGCCAACACTGCAATTAAACCTGAATACTGAGGTTTCAGTTTAGAAAAAGTAACTATATCAACATCTTGTTTTAAAAGAAACACACAATAACATGTGTGCCATAAGTTTGCTACCACTGTCCTTGACGGCTGGAGAGCAATCTGGGCTAATCCTTTGAGCTTTTGCTTTTCAAGTTCACCAAAGACAAACTTAACAAACAAAGCAAGGAGACAGGTGCATCTTTCCAGCTTCATGGGCTGAAACCTAAAGTTTCTCTTGTCCTGTTCAACCAATGGGCTATTTTCAGCAAAATCTATAAAGGAACTCACATGCTCTGAGCTTTAAAATGTAGTTGAACTTGCCCAGAGGTTGTTAAATAATTTCTTCCCTCAGGACACCAGGCCTGTTCCACTTGCTAAATGCACCTGTTTGCAAAATTTCAGGACAATTTCCCAGCACTCTTGGCTGTTTATTACATGGGGTACTGTGAAGGACAGCAATGGGGTTAGGACCCCATTACATGTGGGCAGGACCACTCGAGACTACATAAGGTTTCTCATCATCTAGAAGGAAAAAATTTTAAATGCCATTTCCTCAATATTCAGGCCAAATAATCCCAATCTCATTCTAAGTGAGAAAGCTAAATGTGATTCCTGTGGGGTCTGCTAGGAATGCTGATGTAGATAAATGGAGTCTAATTGGCTCTGATTTGCTTAATTCCAACTAATGCACGCGATACTGCTGAAACATTTTCCAGAATCAAATTATGGGGGATGTGGGGGTGCTCCCAAATGTAATGAGTACATGGCAAATGTGAAGGTCACTGAAAGGTTACAATTAGGAATCTTCCAACATGAATTTCTTTGTCAACTCTTACCCCAACTCCTCTAATATCTCCTAGCCTGTTACCATGGGTCTAGCAAAGAACAGACATTTCCAAAAGCACAACAAGTGAACTTTTTCTTTGATTTGACTTGTGACACAGGCAAGTTGAAACTGTATTACTCCAAATGGTGCTAATACCCCAAAACACACTGCTCAGGGAGGTCATCAGGAATGTCTGAATTCACTTTTTGAGGCTTCCTGCATGCCTCCCTTCCAGGTTACTCACTACTCATTTGTACACTCATTCCCCAACCATACTCACTAAATATTAGTTGCAATTTCTATGTCTCAGGTAATAGATTTCATCAACTAAAAAAAGTACACATCCCTTCCTGTTAAAATAATTGTGATCAGTAAAACTATAAAATCATCACATGTCTGGGTAAATGTTATAAAGGAACTTAATAAGATTAAATAATGAATAATCGACAAAAAGAAGTTGGACAAGAAAGATCTCTCTGAAGGAGTCTTTCAACCAAGATCTACAGGATGGAAAAGATTCAGATACACGGAGTAGGAGGAAAAGCATCCCAAGCAAAGTGAACAGGATCTGGGATGGCTCAGAGGTTGGAGGTAGCTTTGATAAGCTCAGGAGGAAGGAAGGCCAATGGAGATACTGAACAGTGAATCGAGGGAAAATGGGTGCTGACAAGGCCGCCTAGAGAGCTTTATGAATGAGGCAGGGTGAAAAGTATTCTATGTGCAATAGGAAGCTGCCAAAGGTATTTAGGCAGAAAAACATGATTAGACTTATATTAGATGATGCATGGAAAACAGAGTGGACCAGAATCAAGGTGGAGAGGGAGGCACTGTGAGTGGCTGTGATGCAAAATGTTTCCCAGGAGCCATTCTCCTCTCCTTCTTGACTGTGAGGTCTCCAGTTCTATTTTGAAGAGCAAGGGCCACAGCAACAGTCTAGGAAAAGCTAGCAGCACCATAGACACCTCAGCTTGTGTACCTGTGAACCACTGGAGAAGAGTGGTTGATCAAGGAGGCCCTTTTTGAGGTAGAAATAACAGGTATGGGGCTTGGTGGTCTGAGACAGAGGGTATAAAAACTACTTAAAATATTTTGTCTTATAATTTATAAAAATGGGATGAAAAACAGGTTTGAAGAATAAAAGCAAATTTGATTTTCATTATGTTAAAGTTGAGGTCCCTAAAAGGCAACGATGACAATGATTGCCACTCCTGTGGTTTCTGTGAGGTGGGTTCCTGGTCTTCCTCTGGCCCTTCACTGATTCCTTCTCAGAATAGCACATCTGTTCTGATCTGTTCCTTGCAGGGATCTAGGTAGAGGCTCTGGGGACTCAGCTTGTGTCTTCAGTGCTGCTTGGGGCTGGATGCTCATCCTGAGGCTCATCCTCAGTAAGCCTGATATCACTGCACACACCTTAACCCCATTTTCCAGTGGGATTTATTGGTACTTAAAAGCTGATATCTGGGTTCCTCTATGCTACACTTTCTTGTATCTTGGTTGTTTCAAATATGGGCTGATTTATATCCATTTAATGACAGATAGCATGTCACATACTTTCTTCCACATAATAGGAATCCATTTTAATTTGTGTTTCTTTCATCAGTTATCACAAATAAAAAAAAAAAAAAAAAAAAAAAAAAAGCTCCTCTGTTCTAACCTATGGCTGCCTTCCTATCTTCACTGTGACAGCCAAGGGTTGAGTCTTCCCTGACAGACAGGACTGTAAACCGCGTGAGAATGAGAACTTTAAAACTGGTTCAAGCAAAAGATAAATATACAGTAAACATTCTACTTCTTAAGCATGCAGTGTCCTGCCATAACTTTGTATGAATGGTATGACTGCAACTGTTTTGCCTTGCCCTCTTACTATTTCTGTCCTTCTAAACTATCCTTACATTTCCTCTGGCCACTAAACCATTATTTCTTTAAATAACCCCTCTTTAACAGATGATGTTAATATTAGTTTTCTTTATTCTCTCCCTAATAAATTTTAATTTTAGAATTTCTGAACTTACAAGTTGGATAAAGACCCATTCCTCAAGCTAGTTAATCTAGGGAGGGTGTTCTGACATCTATCTGTATGAGATAAAGGAGTTCTATTTTTTTTTCCTTTTTTTTTTTTTTTAAAGACAGATTGGTCTCATGCTGAATATTCGGACATTATCAGAGTTTACGGCTGGAAATTTATTAGACGCTATTCTAGGCTTCTGCAAAACCTGTCCTGACAACAAAGTTATATTTGATACTTTTATATTTAAGATACTGATCTTCCATGCCCCTCTAATATCCCATCCTCATGGATATATTATTCCTTGAGTTCACAATGATGAAAGAGGTGATAGGCATTTTGGCATATTATATTCCTGCAAATAATACTTATGCTTAAAATAAATATGTAAACTGCAACTGTCTCTATAGCATGTGGGGTCCCTACAGCTGGTACAGAGTACAGAGTGGCATTGTAACAGTATCATTCAGTGGCATTTACAAAGTGGGCGAACACTGGCAGCTGTGACACATTATGCTGCTCTGATGTTCAGGACAGACACAGACAAGCATGCCCATAGGGAAAGCTGAAGCCCTTTCTTTGAATAGAGCCCTGGGTAATTACCTTGACTATTGTTTTATGAGATAGCTCCATTTATACCCCTTCATCAGTTTAGGATCTAGACATGTAAAACTCGCTGAAATTAAAGTAATTTGCTCTCCAAATCAAGAAAGGATGAAAATCTCTATTCTTGGGCCGGGGATTTAGCTCAGTGGTTCGGTGGCCTGCCTTGCAAGTGCAAGGACCCGAGTTCAATCCCCGGTACCCGCTCCCTAAAAAAAGAAAATCTCTATTCTTGGGCCGGGGATTTAGCTCAGTGGTTCGGTGGCCTGCCTTGCAAGTGCAAGGACCCGAGTTCAATCCCCGGTACCCGCTCCCTAAAAAAAGAAAATCTCTATTCTTGAGTTACTCATGTGGACAGCCAAAGCTCACCTCCAATAAAGAATCCTGAGGAGCTGTTTTTCTGACTGACAGTACCTTCTTCCTATACAGAGTCCCAAGGAAAACATGTCCAGGGTCTGCTCTCTACTGTCAGCTCTAGGAGGATATGCGAGTATGTGGACAACCTGCAGGTGGAGGGTGGCCAGCCCGCAGGTGTGGTGTGACCTGTGGAGGGTCCGCAAAGCTCAGGTGCATCGGCTGCCCTGCCCTGTGGGCTGGCATGGTATTCTGAGGAAAAGCTACAGAAACATTGCTCACCTTGAGAAGTAAGCTTTCGGGGCAGGGTCCGTGTTCCTCCAGGGTGCCACAGAACATGAAATAGGTTATGAGGTTTGCCATTCAATATGGAATAAAATGGGCGATTATTGAACTACTTACCCCCAAATGAAAATATAAAATGAATTCAAAAGAAAAGATAAAAATCATAACAAAAGAAATGGCCCCTCAATTTTTACTTACATTGAGTGAGGATCCCAGTTAAGGCATTTTTAAAATTCTCCTTGGCTTCCTCCATTTCTTGCTCATGGGTGGCTTTTTCATTCATTAGCCTGCGGACGTGGCTGTTGGCTGACTGCACCATGGAATAGAACTGGTTTGCAGAACGCCGATTCACTTCACCTCGTTCAATCCAGGAAAGCAGCACTGTGATAGCCTCAGAAAACTTGCTATCATCTAGAAATGCAAAACCACCAAGTACACATCACACCAAGGCAAGAAAACATACATTATTCTGCTTCCTCTCAAGACAGAGCAAGGCCCTACCCTGGTGGATACACTTTCAGAACTTGACAAATTAGCTTTCTGCTTCAACTCTTAACTTCTCTTTCCTTATGTAATTCATGGCACTTTGGAATGACCCCAAGATATTCTCATTCACCTATCGACTCCAATGAGCACAGCTATAGAACATTTGTTCTGGGCATTCTTAGCAATAAGTTACAGCTCCAACCTTACACCAAACTTTGATCACCCTTTTAATATTGACTTGGAAAACTATTACTAACTTATTGGCCTCTATTTCATTTCTTCATTCCTTTATGAAAAATATAAGTGATATCTGTTTTCTGATTTATAGAATAGCCAAATTGTGTTCAAATGTAGATGATAAATTAAATTACTTTAAACTGGTTGTAATTTGAGATATTGTTCCCAAGGAAGGTAGCAGTAAGAAGTCATTTCTTGTTTTATTGTGGTTCAAAAGCAATTTAATTTTAGGGTTAATATAACATATTTAATTAGTCTGGGAGATAGAGTATTTTCTTATCTTTTACAAAGAAGGCTGTTCCCTGAGGTAGTCAGTATTTGCTATTGATGGCTACCAGAAAATTCTGGTTGAACCTGGGAGAACGAGGAATGAGGTTCCACTTCTAGGCAAATTACAAAGTTCATGTTAAAGAAAACAAACAGACTTGCCTGTTTGAGAATGGCTGCTGGAACAAATCTGTCTTGTATGGCTTGGAGGTGGAAAAAAAGCAAGTACGATGGTGATTAAGTTAATGAGAACTGGAAGTTGTATGTCAGTTATTACTACAACATTAATCGATCTGATTGTTGCTAAATGCTCACTGCATATTTTCTAGGCAAACGTAAGGGCAGAGGCCTTTCTTTTTGATCTCTAGACAATGTGATTTAGGAAAACTATCCTACATTTTTTTCAAGCCAACTAGGTAGACTCTTAATTCTAAAAATAAAGGGCTAATTTAGACTCTAAGATTCAGATTCTTAGTCATTTATTGGACAAAAACTGGTGCTACCCTGTGCCAGGCACTTCTATTCCCCTGGAGGACTATCAAAGGCACCCTCCTGCACTGTTCACATTTTCAAATGTATATACACTCCAGGTGGATGGACAGCATGCTCACCCTTTTCCAAATTCAAAGCAGCTATGGCAGATAAGATAGGCTTTGGTCTCAATTCCAGGTCCTACATTGCTCCAGTAGCTGCCCTCTAAGTCTGGGGATCAATGATTTTTTTTTTCCTACTGAGTGAACCTATTCCCTCTGCCTTTACACATGTAGCAGAAGAAAACCGGCCTGGGAATGCCCACAGATCACCCTGCAAGCAAAAGACTCAAGTTTCTTGAATATCTCAGTCCACAGGCATAGAGCACTCTTCTTGATAACAGAGCTAGTTTATGCCATTGTTACCTCTGGAATTTCAGTGCAAGTTCAACCCTCGGTGAACTCCAGCTGCAGTGGTTTCTTATCTCATTTCATGGACCGAAGTGGCTTGTGTAAGATAAAATCCATCATACAACTTGGCATTACACTCAGCCCATGGAGAGACCCATAATTTAGCATTATGTTTGTGAGAGGCCCACTGCGACTGTTACAGTCAGAATAAATTCTGTGTCCCTCCACACTTTCTACTTCTCTTCCTGCCAATATATGTTAGGAGAATGGGCCTAGGAACAGACAGCAGAAATAAACCTAATGATTATAAGAAATATTCTTTTTTCCCCTTAAAAACAACAACAAAACGGAACACTGACTTCACATACTATTTTTTGCCTTTGCTGTGACTTAAGTCTCTACACAGTACCAAGAAAGAAAAGACCTTAATATTTTTGGAGCTTGAAAGAAGAGAAAGCGCAATGCCGTTCATCTTTCTCTTGATCGTGATCACACACTTTATAAATATACTAAGTCACTGCCAGGAAGAACACATTTAAATTTTGAAAAAATGTATATTTTTGCAAATGGTCTGAAAACTGTACTCTATTTCTCTTTACTCCTACACCTACAGTCCAAGGTAAGCATTAGTTAGAAGGTGTAGATTGTAGTCAACTGATAGTTTTCAGAAAGAAGAAATAATATCCCTAGGATTAAGAATTGAAACTATACTATTTAAAAATAAGTAGCTGAGAACTTTTCTAACATTTTGAACAGTTTCTAGCAGGTGGAATTCTATTAGCTTTTGACAACTCGTAACTTCATCTTTATTTCTGAAATTTTCTGAAACTGACAGGCTGATGCATGACTGATGTACTGACATTCAAATTAAATTTAAAGCACATTAATTAAAGCATGGCTAGTAACTCTAGTTAATATTTGTTGCTGTGTAAGAAGTGATTTTAATTTATATTAAGACTAACCAGTAACTCACTCTAGATGCCATAGAAGAATATTGGGAGAGGTCATTTTCAATACCCAAATGTAATTTCAATTTTGTATTCACTGGAAGATTACTGAGAAAGGAGAAAACACTATAAACCAATTTAAACAGGATTTAGATTGCAGCATTATTAAAGCTATTCATGTGGAAAGAAATTAACACTGCTCATAAAAATCACATCAAAGGTGCACTTATAAAAATTCCAAATACTTTCTGTGAACATGCTCAGGCAGAACTCTGACTATGGGTACAGTTTAGAAAAAAGAACATCCAGGTGTGCTTTTTCCAGAGTAAGAACTGGTAAAACTACTATATTGTTGAGTGAATCTGTGTCACTTGCTCATTAAAAACTGCCAGTGTTTTCTAAGTGAGGTTCTCCTCATGTTGTACCTGGGTAACTGGAGAGGCCCGCCTGCAGCCTGCAGGTCTTCCTCCCTGATTGGCATGTCCCCTTCAGTCTTTGCCATACTCCTTTTTGTAAACATCACAGCCATGGCCCCAGCTTCTGCACATGCAATGCTGTTATCATAGGGGCCTTCACACGGCCAGCTGTCATTTCTCTCCCAAGATTCAGACCTAGCGCCCTTTCATAAAGAAACTTTTTCTGCAACTGTGGATTGAACTAGGTGCTCATCTGCTGTTCCCACCAACCTGAACATACCCTACTCACATATTCATTCTGTACGGTAATTGGTGCTAACACCTTTGAGGTGCTAATATGAGTCAAAACTTCGCAAACACATTTCAATCTTTGGGTCACTTTGAGTTTTTCCCTTTATAGTTTATATCTTACTATGCTCAATTTCTCATAGATTTGTAGTGATTAGTTCTAGAAAGGCACAAATTCAATGACTACAGGTTGGAAAACATAACAGTTATAAGCATTTCAATTCCACGTTAGTAAATACTTTCACATAAGGATTACTACTAGAGATAAATGTTTTTATGGTAAGCAAGCTAGCTGCTCCTTTTGTATTTTAGGGCTCTGAGGTCATTATTACTGGCTATGATAGTTTAGAGTGATATCAGATAATTTCACAGAAGCAGAGCCTTTAGCAGAAAGGCACTAACAACATTACCAAATGATTCAAAAATATTTTTAAACCATTTTTAATTCTTGGACAGTAATAACCATTGCTCTGGTTTTTGAGGAATAAGTAGTATTATAAAGACCATCCATCATCTGTCAGTATTACCAGCTGAACACACACTCACTTCATTTCTTGTGACTTTAGACTTTGTCATCTTACTTCCTTTTCCTTCTTTTATACATCTAGTGAGCACCTGCTACATAGTGCATTAAAAACTGCATAAATAATCTTTGCTATTCAAAGACCATATGCATGAAAATCCTTTGGGAACTTGTTCGATACAGATTCAGCCTTTCTCAGACCTCCTAACTGTAAATCTGCATTTACTCCTGTTGATTTATATGCACCAAAAGTTTGACAAGCATTGGAGGGAACAACTTGGTGAAAGCCAGGTAGACTAGTTAGGACTGAATCTAAGTTAAGAGAAAATGAAAACCTGAAAGGGAAAGTAGCAGCTGAGATAGCAAGGGATATTGAAAGGCTTTAATGTGATTCATATGAGCTTTACGAGTCCCTGACCCTCAGTCCCCACTCTCAATTAAAGAATAACTGTCATCCTTATCCAGAAAAAGAAAAAAGTGCCCAGGACTTGGAAATGGGCACAGAGACTACCGAAGATCCATTCAATAGTATGCTGAAAATAAACTAAGTAAGTGCTCCCCCTATATGACTCTATAGGGGTGTGAACCTATACCTGTCTTTGATATTGCTATTTTATGATGCTGGAGTAACAGAACATAAATTGCAGAAAAGTGATAATGATGCAATAATTTCTAACAATACCAATGAATTTTTGTTCAGTAGAACATTTAACTCTTTTTTTGGTATCAGGCATTAAACTCACGACCTTGTGCTGGCAAGGCAGGCACTGTGGCCACTGAGCAAAATCCCTGGCACTGAACATTTAAATCTTTCTAAGGCAAATTATCCTTTGAACCAGTTTTTAACATTTTATTGTTTCTTCATTACTTGAATTAAATAAAATCATTAGCATATGCTCATTTTATATTTGTAAGACAGTCATGATTTCACTGCAACAAGTCCTTCAACAACTACAGGAGTACACAATCCTCAAAGGCAGGATCTGTGCTATAGTCACGCCTGAAACTCCAGGGCATGGAAGAGATGTGGCGGGTTTTTGGCTGTCACACAGATATGATAGGGGAAGGAACCAAACTGTTAAGTAGCTTTTTCCCCCTATTTTGTGTGTTCAAGGAGATTTAGTCTCTGAATTTAAGAACTGTGATGGGATAAAAACCAGATTATGAACACACAGGAGGGGGCTGAACTGACTCTTCTATAAGGAAATGCTTCCTGCCCCACCTTCTTTTGCTATGAGGTAATGCAGCATGAAGGTCCTCACCAGATGTGGGTACCATGCTCTACAACTTCCTAACCTCCAGGGCTGTGAGCCAAATAAACTTTTATTTATAAGTTATCTGGCTTCAAGTAGTATTTTGTTAACCAGTAGAAAATGGACCAAGGAAGTCCCTAAACAAGTCTCCATTTTCTAGCTGCTCAATTAACTATACATCAATTAGCCAAATCACAGACACTATAAAATGTTACACAAATACTTATTGCTCCTATTTACCCCTAAATCCCATGAACTACTTAGTATCTGTAAAAATGAGAAAACTAAGAGGGCAATCGGAAAATGAACTTGCTTCAGGATCAAGCAAAATGTTTCCAAATAAAATGTCCTATTGTGCCTCCATGAAGGTTAATAATGCCTAAGAAAGTGATTCTCAAATAGGCTCCTGTGCTTCATATTTCCCTTGCCTGAAGAAGAAGAACTAGTTTTTAGCTAATGGAACATCCACTTGGCTCACAGCATTATTGATTTTTACTTTCATGGAATCATAAATATTGACAACCATCTCAGCAAAATGCAGGTACCCTTTCCATCCTGCCTCCCTCTGGCAGACTGATGCTGCCCTCTCTGTATACAAATCTGAATCTAGTCCTCTGGAAACTGTAAGTGTGATCCAGGAGAACTGGATTCTTGGTGACACATCAAGAAATCCCAAGAGCACTGCTTGCAGAGATTCATCAGAACTTTACTTGAGGAGAGAGATATCTTTATTCCATCACATAAGGAAAGATTATGGGCAGCTTTCCGAAGGGGGAAAGGTAAACAGAAACTTTTAAGTGCTCTTACCCAGAGAAATCCCCAGTAGGAGAGGATATAATGCTTCTACACTTTCTAATCAATCTCTTCCTTGCACAGGCCAAATCCAGGGCTCCTCAGGGTTGGTTGGCTTGTGTTAGATACACTGAAATTCATTATCTCATCTGGCTGGCGCCACTGTTTCCAATAAAGTGCAATTATGGTGCTATTGAGCTTCTTCTCACTTTCTCAAATCCTCTCCATAAACTTTGGGTCCTGCACAGTCACTTCCCAGTCAGTCTTCATTAAATCGAATTGTCTCTGAACAATATCTATTTAATCAGCAGGGTGCCCACTAATTTTCTTCTTCAGAATTTGTATTAATGTAACAAATACTGGGTGACTCTGTGCTTCAGACAATACACAATTACAACTCAGTGTTTTCCCTGGCTTTGGATGGCCAAGCAGTGAATGGGCTGACCCAGTTGTAGATGTCCCCTTGTTCACAGCAACACTGCCCCCTGGATTGGCTATCTCTTTGGTGAGAGTGTGCTGTATTTTGCACTTTTATATGTTGGCAGATTATAACGTGTGTGTGTGTGTGTGTGTGTGTGTGTGTGTGTGTGTGTGTAATTCCACTATTGTAAGTAGCAAGTGCAGGGTGATTTACTATTTCTTCTATCACTCAAGAAACCTAAACTTTGTGATCCGGGGACTTATGTGCTATTTTCTTTTCCTTCAGTGTCTAGAAAGTCCTGGGCATATGGCAGAAGAACTAACAAATATTTCTTGAGTAATTGGAATGATGGCTGAGCACACATCACTACGTTTCTGGTCATGCCCAATCTAAATACACTTGATCTTAGCCAAAAGGCCAAGAAGCGATGTCCAATCTAAATAGTTGCACAAGATAGAAAGAAATTAATTTGCTAAATAGCTACTGTATTTAGCACTGGACAGGACCTGGAGAACCTTATAGATCATAATAAAGACTTAGCTTGCACAAATTATGGTGAATAAAGCTGATCTTCAAAAAGAAAACTGTAAAAATAAATATGCACAATGTAAAATGAGGGAAAATGTCTATAATATACCTCAGATAACAAGATATTTCAGGGGAAAAAAATCAAATCCAGTTAGGTATTTTCAGATTGCAGTTTCACTTCCTTTCTGATATAGGTTTCTGTACCTCACATCCTGACTGCATTTTATATCCCCACATCAGTGAAATCATGTTTCCTTGGCTCCCCTTGTCTGGCTTTGCAGTGTTATAAGGAGCAAGGAGTGGGTTTCCTCTCCAAGGCAGCCAATTTCCTAAGCAATTAAATGCTGTTTATATTCCAAACTCTGTGCTTGGGTTGAAATTGCCAAGCTTGGTATTACCTGACTCTTGCCTAAGATGTATTCTCAGCTAGTTCATTCTGCTGTAACAGCCATCTATTAAAATTTCCAATCTGTTCTCTCCTCAAGGGATCTCACGGTACTTGGCAAAGGTACAGCTTCTTTCTGAATTCTGCAAATTATACTCATCTATGTAAATATATATTTTTGAAATGGCAAGGCTTGCAAATTACTCTACCAAATTGACATCCCAATCTGCTAACCTATGAAAGGCTATGTATCTCATACATGTGTAGATACTGCTGTGCTAGTTTCTGAAAAATATAGTAACGTAGACGTTAAATTTTCATGAAATTCCTCTACAAGTTTCTAGAACCAAGGTGCTAGTTCTTGTCACTTCTAGGTGTGGACATGTCTAAATGCAGTGTGTTCTATATAGATCATGAGGTGAGGCCTTACAATGCACTGAACATTAAAGAAAAACTTTCAATGAACATTCCTTGTTGAGAATTCCTTGTTGTTTCTTGCTCTCATTTTGGACACTCCTGTGGTTTCACTGCTGAGTGAAAAAGTGAAATGATGCCTGCATTTGCATTGTGTATATTTTTGTATTTTTTGAAGGGACAGCATTGCCCGCGTATTTACACCTGCATGCATGCCTTCCAAAAGCAGCAGAACGTCTCCCTAGAGCATAAATAAAAAGCAGTCTATGGTTACAAAAGGGCATTCCAGGGGCAATCACTATTGATCTGTGGGGCCCAAGACAGAATGAGGGCTAAAAGACAGTTTTAATATAAAGCACAGAATTTTCCTATGTTCCTAAAATAGGTGTTAGGGTACTTTTCACACATTTTCTTTAGTAAAAGTATCCACACCACTTAGGACACTGCCTGCAATACACCAGTGAGGCTCTAAAACACTCTCAGGACCAGTCACATACCTCCTCTCATCAGGAATCTGTAATGGGCCCTCCACTGTTTATGGAATAAAACCTAAATACAGCAACAGCCTTCCAGGTTCCACCATCTGGACCAGACTGCTTTTCCAGCTTCACCTTGCTCTATAAATGCACCATTGGTGCCAAATTCCTCGCTGCTTCCCATGTGGCTGTATTCCTAAGGCTCCAGCCCCTGGATAGAATGCCATTATGTGTCTTTTTATCTTGGGAAGTCTTGTTTATTTTGCCATGTTTAAATTCTGCCTGCTTTGTAAATACTATCCTGATGTCCTTCTCAACACTGTTCACACATGTCCCTGCATTACCAAAGGATGTTATATGTTCCTTGGTTGACAGTCAGGCCAATGGCTTTGTTTTATAGCCATCTATGTACTTGTAACCACCTGCCTATGGAAACTGTGACCTTCGTTAATCCTGATAGCACCAAATGATTCAAAGAGGGTCTGATCATCGTTTACCTGTAAAATGCCCAGCACACCCAAACTTGATGAACAGAACAGCATCTACACACCCATCATCCTAATTTTAGAATCTGGACATTTTCTTATGTTCAGCAGGGTAGGTACTAAGGTTCCTATGTGTCTTCCCTCACAATCTTAACCAAGGGATGTCACAACAAAGAAAACAAAATATTTTTCTCTTGCTACTCATCTATTGGTGTTAAGAGAGTCCTTTCAACTTTATTACTGAAGACAGGATCCTATTCTACATTTCTCCTCTATTGCCCATGGTCCTTAGCACAAAGTCTGATAAATGTAAGGAAGGCTTTACAGGGTCTATGGCCCTGAGAACTGTACAAGGCTCTGAGAACACTAGGCACTACCTAGTCCACAGCGGAATCATTTCCCTGGCTCTCTGAACACTGGGCCAGATGACAACAGCCTTTTGGGACTGGTGCTGTCCATTCTTCTGCCCTCTCACTCACTGAGTTTTGCTGAGTGACAATACACACATATTCATGGAGAACACAGGTAAGGGTGCTGGAAAGGGCCAGGCTGTCCTAAGCAGGACAAGGAAGCCCAGGTGTCTTCAGCTTCAAAGTCCTTACTACTCACATGAACATGGCAGGGGGAAGAAAGAGAAACACGGCTTTGGTGTCTGAGGACAGTGGCTTTGCTTCAAGAGCTGGTGGATAATTTAGAGGAAGAAAAGCATGCCCGATCATCTTCATACCTTTCAGCTTTTCGGCCAGCAGGGCAGCCTCGTGCTCTGAGTAGTGCATGATGGCTGGCGGGGAGGGCGGTCGGAGCCGGTCCTCCTCCAGCTTGCGCCTGTGCCGTTCCTCACGGGCACGCATCCTCTGCTTGCATTCCCACTCATAGAAGTCATCTCTGGCCTGTGCAAAGTCCACATGAAGTCGACCCGAATCCTTTTTGTCTGTGCTAGACCCTAACCGCATCCGGTAACCTGGAAGCAGTGGAAAGTCTGGTCACGTCACAATGTCACAGTGGAGATCCGTTTCAGTCCAGGAATCGCCTCATGTTAGACAAATGCTCATTTATTTCTTTGGCCACAGGACAGGGCATCTTTCTCATAGGAGGTGGGAAGCAGTTAACCCCCTTCTCATCAACCTAAAATGTGGTTGAATTAAGCCTTCCACAGCTTCGAGGATAAACATATCTCAGGGAGGTATCTCAGAGGGTGTCTGATGATGTCCAAGCAGAATCCCCAACAGAGGATGATTTTTAAAGCTAGGAGGGTTATCAAAATAACTCTCTATGGGCTGGGGACTTAGCTCAGCGGTTCGGTGGCCTGCCTTGCAAGCGCAAGGACCCGAGTTCAATCCCCGGTACCAAAAAAACAAAACAACAAAAAAAAACTTTCTTCTTCCTTCAGCTTCCAGGAAGCTTGAAAACAAATTTGGCAGGTAGCATGTGTTTTTTGCTCTACTTCTTATGGTCTTGATTTCATACTTTCAATTTACTATGACTCTATTGCAAAATGCTCTTAAATTCTATCTAAAAAAAGGTGGAGTATGGATAAATAAAGAGCATTTATGATATTTAAAAGGATCTACAAAGTAAATTCCAGAACACCTCACTCTTAGGTTATTGCTTCATTCCCTTAGAAAAGGCTTTTCCCCAGTTTTCTCCCAACAACTGCAAAAGACATAATTACTGAAGTGATTTTGCAATGCTGTTTTATTTCCACATATCCTCTGGGGCACAAAGAGGAATATTTTACCTTAAATCAAGAGGTCTTACTGCTGCCTCCTCACAGCCCTGCAGCACCTCATATGGTGCGCAGTACCACACAAATTGTCTGTGCAATCTCTGGAAGCCATAGGAGCCCCATTCAAGAGCTCAGCAATAGACAAAAAGCATAGGGCCTAGAAATCTTTAGAGGATTTACTGTGAGCTGCCCAACTTTTAAAGACTATAAGCACAAACTTGATCTGAGAAATCAACACAGGACTATAGCCAGTTAGCCAGCCTAACTTCAAATGAAGAAGTTGACTTTGAGGTTGCTCTTCAGTTTGGGGTACATAGATTTACAGAATACAAATTCAGGTCTTAGTAGGAACACAGCTGACAGGGACTGCCAGAGCAGAGAGCAACATAAGTCCTTTAGCCGTGTAGGGGCTTTGCAAATGAGATCCAACTGTAAAATGCTAGGCTGTGCTGTGTTGATGTTCAAAATCGCATGGTAGGTTTCAATGGATTATCATAGCATTTTGGGTCGAAACGCAGCTGAAAATCCCTATAGAGGTTGGCTTCTCCCCAGTAGGGCACTTCACACCTTTGAAAAGTCCCAAATAAGATACAGATTTTACTTCTGATGTCTGCATGCCATTGAACCCTTCTGCCTCCTAGGTTTCGACAGTGTTATCTAAAAATGAGAAGTTATAATAATACTGATAAAAAACACAACAGCTGCTCATAGATGAGCAGAATTGATGCTAAAGCAAAATGTATCTTAGTTGCAGGCCATGGAAAGCTAGTAAGTCAGCAGGCTGTGGTGATACATACATAACAGCTAGGCAAACTAAGCAGGCCAGCTGTCTCAACTGGCCAAGCAACTTTTCCCTGCTCTAATCCAGAGAATCACTTTTCAGACATTTCTCATTCCACAAGCACTGTCCTCTCCACCAAAGCATCATTAAAGCTTTACAGAGACCTTGATGATAATGAGACTAAAATTAGCTTGGCCTTCAAATGTGAACATGGTCCTAAAATTAGACAGGCTTTCCAGCTGGGTCTGGGCTTGCAGGAGCTCACACACAGGAGGGCAGTGTGCCTTCCTTCCTGCCCCTCCGATCAGTCAGCCTGTTATAGCTCTCCAGCACTGATACTGCTGCCTCAGTAGGCACATGAGACAGAGTTGGAGACTTCTCTGTACCTAGAAGGGGAGGTTGCAGCTGAGACCTGTGCTGGGGTTTCTTCCTGCTGCAAAGGAGGAGACTGAGAAGAAGCCATCAGGGGCTTGCTAAGGGAAACAGGCCAGGCCCACAGTTCAGAAATGGAAAAAGCATAGGATCAAGGCATAAGTAATAGAACTCTTTCATATGGCTAGATTAGAGACTACTTTCATGATATCTTACTGAATTTCTCATTGGGTCTAAGTATGGTGGTGTACACCTATAATCTCAGCATTCTGGGAGGCTGAGGCAGGAGGATCCCAAGTCTGAGTCCAGCTGAGACAACTTGTTGAGAGATTGTCTCAAAAACAAAACAAAACAAACTTTAAAAGAGATGGGGATTTAGCTCAGTGTACAGGCCCTGGGATCAATTTCCAGTAATGGAACAAAAGGGTGTGACCTTTAAGCTACTGTAACTCACTGAATCATGTGGGACAGAGTAACAGCTGTTTGTTTGTTTTTTGAGGGACATCTGTGATTAGAACCCAGGCACATGGGACAAAGTTTGCTGAGAAATAAGAATTAGTCCTTCTTCGCCATGCCCAGGGTAACTGTGCTAAAAACAACCATGTACTGAATGGTTCCTGTGTTGCACCTATGTTATATACCTGCCAAGTATCAAATATCCATTATCTAATGTAACTTTCCGAGCAGTCCTAGTTGGTAAACCACACCTATCTCTTTTATTCAGATGAGAACATAGAGCTGGGAGAGAAGTTATTCGGGTCAGCACACATGAAACCCAGTTCTCTGCACTGCCCAAATCCCTAGTGATCTAACAGCTGTGTGTGAATTGTAGAATGTCCTTGTCCAGGTCTGTCTTCCATCTCCACTGTGGAACGCTTTCAGACTTGGCTTTTCTCTTTGTAAGATTTTATTGGAATGAGAGTTCCAAAGTTCTCCCAACCACTATCTGGTTCAGGAATGTTTCTGAAGTTTCGTGACAACTTCCAGGCTTCTGCACAGAACGTCATGGCAATAGAGACGGACTGCAGAAACGAAGTAAAACCTGGCAGTAATGCTCACACAGGTTTTTTTCATGTTGTATTCTCACCTTCCCCTATTAGCTGTGCCTCAGGAATATGGAGGAGATACATGGAGGGTGACAGTGTGAAAAGTGTCATTGGAAAGTGTGAAGGAAAGGCAATGAGCAGAATCTAAACAGTAGGCCCTGCTAAAGCCACATCTCAACACCAGCTCCATTATTTACAGAATTGGCAAAGGCCTTGTTGACAGACTCCACATATGTGTTCCAACACCCACAGAGTGGAAGGCAGCACAAGGCCCAATTTTAATATATATAAAATTCTCCAATAAAAATTGGTACCAAAGAACAAGGCCAGTTGAGCAGGTTTAATGAACTATCAATGAGCAGTGATATTGGTCCTTATCAAAGGGCCCATGAACTATGTACTTTCCTGTGAAGAACTATTCTTGCTTTAGTAATCTGGTGCTGAGAAAGTAAATCCACTTGCAAAAACTAAAATTATTCTGACAGAGTACTTTAGTTCCCCAGAGGATTACATCCAATAATAATAATGGTCCTCAGTACTCATAATATTGCTTTTCATCTAATAAGCACTTGAGAACATTAATTAGAAACTCAATGAAATTCTGAAAGACTGGATGGTAGGAAACCATCCCTGCAGTGAGGTACTTTCAGAGCCTGAACAGAGAGCTTTGGGCAGCCAAGAAAAAAGGCAGAATTCCTCCTTCTTCAGCCCCAAACTATGAGTACCTCATTGTGCATTAAGGCAAATGGGAATATGTTCATATTAACATCACAAAACATGTCAAAATGCTGAGTGCACCCCTTATATAATGCAAAGTACCAGAAAGGTAAATGGCTTTATCAACCATGAATTCCTCTGCAAAGCGAATGTGACAAAAATTCTTCTTGCTCTTTCGGATCGCTGTAATATCACCGCACTGCTCAAAGACTTCTTGAATAATTTCCTCCGTAGCATTTTCTGGTAATCCTCCCACAAACACAGTCTTACACCCAGGAGGTCGTTCTCTGGTGGAAGGAGGTGGAAGATCTAATAGCACAACAAAATAGAGAGTTTTGTCTTTTATTCATTGGTCCTCTTTTTCTGGCTCAGCTGGCAAAAGTCAAGCTTGTAGTTACCTACTCCCAGCAGAATGACCATCTCCTTCCATACCAATTTAGATTTTCTCTGGGCTGTTTTATTTTAGGTTCTTCTCCCTCCTCCTCCCAACCTTTCTTCTCTGTATTCATTTCTACACTGAGGGGATATGCTTGCTCATGAACAAAGGCAACTCACATGTTAGCATAATTTCATTTCTCCTTTATAATACAGAGGCCCAGAAAAAAGGGGGGCCTTCACAAAGTCTAAAACATGATGAAATGACAACACGATGAAAGAGCTCGGCCTGTTATTGGCTATGTCTTGTTGCCAGATAAAGAAGCAGCGAGGTGGAACACAGGAAGCACACCCTAAAGATGCAAGTACAATACTTACTTGACTGTGAAACACTGTGTCTGAAAAAAACACTCTATTATTCGCATTTAAATGAGCAAACCATTACACTTTTGGGAGGCTGAATAAAAAAGATAAAATTTACACTGTTATAGCACTTTACCTAGTTTATATGTAGATTACTAAAGCAATCTCTTGAAAAGTCCACTTTAAATGGCAACATTGATTAATATGAATTTAAAAATCCGAGCTATTTAGATCCAAAAAATTACTATCTAAGGCTAAATTAAAAAAAAAATCTGGCCCATTTACTTCATCAAATGTATAGATCCTTCAAACAAATGTAATTTAGTCCAGAAATTCTGAGACACAGGTTCCCCCCTGCACTACAATTGCTAACTGCCAAATTAATTCAAATTTCCACCTAACAAACACATTTCAGAGTTTTTCCTCTTACATTTGTGAAGACAGATGAAAGTGCTTATGTATTTTAAAACACTATGTTCTCCAGGAAATGCTAGACTTCACTGAGTGCAAACAAATTCTTAGTGCTGGATATAAATCCCTAAATCCCTCATCCTGACCTCTTGGTGGCTATTTTGCTTCTAGACAGATTCAGGGACACATCTCTGTATATTTCTTCTAAAGGAGAAACAAAGACCCCATTTTGTGTATGCCTAAATTGCATCTTAAAATTAGTGCAATATTATTTTAAATAAAAGGGATATAAATTTAAAGCGATGAACAAATGTTTGTTATAGGCGTTACTTACTTGGATTTTGAGGAAAAAGAGTACAACTTTTGCAGTGAATTATTTCTTTAACAACAGCCACTTCAGTTGGTGGTGGGGGTGGTACCAGCCCCAGGCCTGGTATCATTGGGTTAATGGGGGTGATTCCAGTCATCATGTTGAGGCTTGGGTCAAAACCTGGGACACAGATTGAGTCTGGAAAGCACATGAAATAACATTTTGGTTGGAAAATCTTAAATCCATTTTTGCTATTTTCTATTTTTCAGGAGTTTCTCCTGGCATAAGATACAGCACCAAAGAAAGCTATTCCAGAAAAGGGGGAGGTGTGGAAATGAACCTGAAACTACATGAAAAAGAAATTATATTACTTAAAATATTAACATGGCAGAAGAGAACACAGTATATTAAAGTGTAAAACCATGCACCATGAAGCTATGCTATTATTGTGAATACAATTTTCTGTTTTTTAATGTCAGTGTTTTGTTTAACCTGCCTTTTGACCCAGAATGTGGGAAGAATATCATTTAACACTGAAGTGCCCTGTGAATCTGTCAGTCTGGTTGTATCAAAAGAGCCTTCTTATTCCTGTGACCTAGATTTTGGAAAGCTCAATTTATGTGTGGATACTTTATAATGACCACTCATGTCACACCTAATCTACTGCTCCCAGAGTGGGGGACAAAGTGTGATTATAATTATTATGGCTCGTTAGATACCTGCAGGCATAAAGTTAGTTGTGTATATTTCTGAATTCTACTGGATAATCATTCCTTCTTCCTATAATTCAATCAATAGATAATTGGCCCACCCTTTTGAAATTCTTATACTTTGTATTTAAAAACTACCTTTAAATGTGAAGGGGGTAAAAAGAATGGGTTTTCCAAATAAAAAATTGAATTGATTTTTTAAGTGTGATAATGAAGCAAGTAATTTCAAAGGTGATACATGAGGTCTTTTTTTTTTTTTGTAAGACTTCTATCAAAAAAGACAAAAGATAAATGTTGACAGGGGTATGGAGAAAAAGAATGTCTATATACTGTTGGTGGAAATGTAAATTAATGTTATGGAACAAAGTAAAAACAGAAGTATGACCCAGCCATCTCCCTATTAGGTATATATTGAAAGGAAATGATACTAGTATGTCATGGAGGCATTTGCCTTTCATGTTTATAGCAGCAGTAACCAGAATAATCAACATATAGAATCAAGCTCTATGTCCGTCCACAGACGACTGGTTAAAGAAAGTGGCCAGAAGGCTGAAGCAGGACATGCCTGGGCAACTTAGCGAAGACCTAAGAAATAAAAAGGTCATGGGTTGGGTAGCTCAGTGTGGGGCCCTGGGTTCAGTTCCCCAGTATCATGGGTAAAAAAATGGAGCAAGAAAGAAACTGTGGTACACACATATAATAAAATACTATGGAGTTATTTAAGAGAAGGAAATCCTTTCATTTATGACAACATGGAAGAACCTGGAGGAAGTATGTTAAATAAAATTGGCCAGGCACAGAAAGACAGATATTGCCTGATCTCAAAGTTGAAAAAAGTTGATTTCATAGAAGTAGAGAGTACTTTTCTGGTGGTTATCAGAGGCTGAATGGTTGAACTGAGTAAGATGGGGAGATACTAGTCAAAGTACACATAATTATATTTATGAGGAATAAGTTCAAAACATCTGTTGTACAGCATGGTAACTACAGTTACAGATGATAATTTTTTTTTTTCTGTACTAGAGAAGAAAGCAAGGGACACTGAACTACTGAGGTACATCCTCAGCCTTTAAAAACAGTTTTTTAAAAAACTTGTGAGACAAGGTCTTGCTAAATCACTAAGTTGCCCAGGCTGGGCTCAAACTTGTGAAACACCTGCTTCAACCTTCCAGAGTGCTGGGATTACAGGTTCTTGAAATATGCACAGAATGGATCCTATGTATTCCCAACATAAAAATGATAGCTATATGAAGCAATGCCTTTGTTAATTAGCTAGATTTAACCGCTCCACAATGTCTATATACACTTCAAAACATCATAGTGTACATGACAAATACATGCAGCTTTATCTGTCAGTTTTTAAAAAGCCCTTTCTAACAGCAGGGGCTATTAAAATACTGGACTGAATGTGTAAGAGTATCTTCAAGGAGATCTTTCTCCTGAAGTTTTTATGTTTACAGAAAACAGTAGTCTCTCTGATGGTGTGATGATGGACTGAGGTAAACAGATGGTGGCATAGTGGCACAGATGCCACCAGAAAAAGGCATGGTGACTCTTCATCATTCTGCAAGGATGAAACTTCCTTCTTGTCTCTCACTCTCTTATCTTTTGCTCTCTTTTCATCTCTGGTCACATTCTTCCTTTCCCCCCACTTTCCTTTTGGGTCATCCCTCTCCAGCCCATGCCCCTGTCATCCACATGCTCTGCTTGACTGTGCTGAAAGGCTGCATGAGCCCAGAGGTACATGCAGTGACAACTATAGCCTTTGTCTACTAAGAAATTCTCAGAATATACAGGAAGTTTGGCAAATTTCTCTTTTCTGGAAAAAGATATACAGCATTTCTCTAGTTATCTTGGATATGCTCAGACCTCCTCTGGATTGAAAAGAATAAACAGTGTGATCCTGATCTATAACCTCGAGAGATGTGTCCTTTTGTTAGACATTTCATTTACTTTGATAGCATGCTAGCATGACTTCAGTAATTTTTTTAAATTTTGTGTGTCCATTTGTGTTTTTTTAAATAACCCTAAATATAAATGCAAAAGAGGCATTTTCTTTCAAATAGCCACCCTGATAGTCTAGGCACTTCCTCTATAGTTATGCTTTTCAGTATGCACTGTCTGACTGGACTAGTCTTTGGAATACCAGTGTTCCTGAACTCCAGCTGGCTACCTCAATAGTGCTCAAAATGCATTATATACAAAATATATGAAGGATTACAAAGGGGCAAGATTTAAGTTCTTGTTATTCATCTAATCCTTACTGATATTATTCGCATCTTACAGATAAAGAAATTGACGCTTTAAAGCAGTTATGTAAAACCAAGCAACTGAAAGTCTGAACTAGAGCTCAGGTCTTTAGTTCCATACTTAAACATGTATTAGACACTATAACTATTTCAGTGTTTCTGTTTACAATGACCCAACTTGATTAGTCATCTAGTATATGCCACTACTGCTTAAAACATTTAACCTTAAAAAAAACAAACAAGATTTTTTCCTACTTATCTAGATGCCAATTCTAAAAATGTTTCAGAATAGAACAGTTTATAACATCATGATCACTGAAATAACATACTGGCTTCCAAGATGAATACATTAGAAATAGAAATATTGGCAATAGGGATGTTGGCTTGTGCTTTTCATTTAATCTCATTCCGTACACAGGCTTCATCTCTTTCTTTCCTGACCTGGCCTTCGCTATTGTTTGCCAACAGAGAATGATTTAAGGCAGAAACCACTCAAAACTGCAAACCCTGAAATGCAAGCCCTGCGAATTATAATAAGCAGATGTTTTGCACAAATGAGATGAGGAGCCCAGTGAGTATATTCTCTTTTAGGTGCAACAGACTTCTGTTTTTTTTTTCCTTGAGAACCAAATACATAAATAAATAAATATTCAGAAATGGTGACAGAAGAATTACCCCTGAGCAAAATATTTTAATATACAGCAGGAGTTGCTTTGCTTTTTCAGAGACATCAATATGAAGAGACTATGAGGTTTAATGAAATCTGCATAGTGAGTGCAGTAGCTTTAAAAGAGCTTAGAAAGGAATTAGCACTTAAATTATGTTGGACCTCAAAGGGTCTGAGATTTTGCTTTTGAGCAGAGGAAGTAGGAAGAATTAGACTTTTTAAAAAATAAGAAACCATTACTTTTTAACAATATATGAACAGATGGAAATTGTTTTCTCAAACATCACAACAGCACATTATATACTAACTCATTAAAGCCCATGCACAAATGTTGAAAATCTGAGAGACACATACACACAAGAAGACAAAGGTAAAGGCAATCCAAACTCTTAAGAGTCATATCCTGGTCTTGTGTGGAAAAGCTGCCCCTGTGAACTTCAAAGATAAAGAATTACAATCTACTCTGGAAACAGAGAAGAATGCCATACACTGCAATATGAAAGGATCCAATTAATATAGAAGAACTTTATTTTAGAAACTATACTTAAAGAAGAAAAAGGTTTATTCACTTCACAACATGGCTCTCATCTAACTCCTTTCTGTATTGCTAGCTCCAAGCACAGAGTAGAAGGCCAGAGCTTAGCAAGGTTTCTTTTTGGTTTTCTATTCCTAATTAGAAAA